CGTGTTGTTCGAAAGGAAGAAGAGAGAAGGTAACAGAAACAAAGAAATCGAATTATCTTTGCCTCCAAATGCGTTTACGGCTCTCATTGCTATATGAGACCTCGTTAACGAATCTGTGAGCAAACGATTCACGACCTATACATTTAGATTTTGAGATGAGAGAGTTAATCATGCTTTACTTCATCATCGTAGGGTTATTCATGTTTACTTTAAGTACAGCGTCATCGTTCCTCTATTGTTTCTCTTCTACGATCGTGATTGACTAATCGGTCTTTTCGCTGCAGATGAAAGAGGGCCTTATTTAAAACCGTTACGAAACTCCATTGCACAAGCATACGATGAAATAAACACCGGTGAAAATTAAAACTGTTTTGAAGGTTCTGGGCATGATCCATATTCTGAGAAGAGAAAGGAGAATAGGAAAACGGATCATGTGGAAAAGACACTGCGACAAAGCAGTTATGGTCTGATGCTAGCAGCTGGGTTTTGTAGGATCGAACTCGACCGGCCACAGGCGGCTTCCTCCCCGACCGACAGTTCACTGGGCTTCGTCCAACTATCCATTGTTCTCCTTTGGATTCGATTCTGCGTTATGGGTGATAGGGGCTTGCGCGACTCAGCATGCCGACGCTCAATGATGGATGACTCCGAGCCACATCCGACCAGAACATGCAATCTTCCGGCGGTCGGTGAAAAAGGGATAGGAAGGTGATTGATAACGCGGTGAGGTGTAGCAGTGAATGTATGATGAGCAATTCCTTTTCCAACTACTGCAGCTGACTGTGAAATTGTTCATCATAATCTACATTTAGGAGAAAAAAAGGAAAAGTATAGGATAAGAGGCACAACGGGTTTAAGTCAATTGAGAGCAATTTTTACAGGATTGACTCGAGGATGAAAGTGAAGGGAGTGCTCCTGTGACTACAGAATGTAACAAGCGGGCGTGAAATTTTAATGAGGGCATTATGAGAGCATTTAATGAGAACGTCTGATTCAATTCGAGTGAGCCTCACCTCCCCCCCCTTCTCTACGGAACTCACTAACGTTACGTCTAGGCCTACATTTTTCGTTCGAAAGAAACTCAATCCTCGACTTACTGGGCCAATTAGCCCTTACGGAACTTCCAAATACAGGCGTATGTATAGGATTGTACAGTACTGAATTTAGCCTTGTTTGGAAATAGTGTAGTCCCTATCATGTTTTGGCCATTCTTAATAAATATGGAACTATATATGGTTCATATATACTGTAGACCCCCAAATATGGTGCTAAGTTTGCAATGTATATGACACTAATATAAACTATACGGAAAAAATACTGTATTTGGAATATATTTGGAAACTGTTCAGCCCGTGTACTGTCCATGGATACACACGCATGGACGTTGAGGCCTTCCATATGGCCTGACATCTTGCAGTTCGTTCAAGCAATAAAAAGTTCTCACAATATGAGCGAGGTCGCGCTCATCCCGCCGCTATATGTCTCCCGATTCCTCAAATGCTAATGAATGATTCTGCAGAAGCTTTCACCCTCAACTCGATAATTTCCCACGTACAAACCGAAGATATAAGCGAGGTCGCGCTCATCCCGCCGCTATATGTCTCCCGATACCTCAAATGCTAATGAATGATTCTGCAGAAGCTTTCACCCTCAACTCGATAATTTCCCACGTACAAACCGAAGGAAGGAAGTCGTTCTAATCAATGAATATGTTGAGAGACGTAACCTAACTTCAGGAGACTCTAGATAATTCTTGCCCGATGCATAGAAGGAGTGAGGTTCCACTTGTGATGTGAGTCATAAAAGCCATGTCAAAGCTTCATTGTCGAGTGACTGCTTCTGATCCTCTGCTTCAATCTCCAATTAATAATGCATGCGGGGGTAATCTATATTGCATATTAAGAATATATAGTTACATATATCCATTATATTAAATATGGCCAAAACATGCCAAATATTTATAAGTGCCATGTACATTGCAACTAAGTACCGTATACAGGGCTTTTATATGAACCATGTATAGTTCCATATTCATTAAGAATGGCCAAAAGATGATATGGTCTGGACGGCTTCCAAATATGTAATCTTTATTTGTACCATGCACATTCCGAGCTAAGCACCCCTGTATGGCCATATCTGATAATTCGCATGAAATCTGAATATGGAGTTCCCGTAAGGGTCGATTGCCTCCAGCAGACTATGCCACGGAAAATCATCTGTAAATCCGCAGATCATTGGATGATCTCCGGTGCTACCACCTGGCCTAACCTTCACGTGACATCATGGTCTTGGAATGGTCTTTCGGTGTTCCAATCTTGGAAGACCGAAATTTTGAGTAAGAACTGCTCGGAGACATCGAAGACTTGAAAATGACATGAAATCCTTTGAATACCATCCGTTACCACTATTTTTTGTGCACTTAGCATGAAGGAAGAATTTTCAACTGCCAAACATGCAATTATGCAAAAGAGAGCCTAATCAGTACTCAAAAAGTAAAAAATTATCCTCTTTTTCGAAAAGACAATTAGATATGCGCGAGCCAGGCCGTGTTAGCACACTGCCAAGTCCGTGTGAGAATCATGCGAGGGCAGGAGGGTTCCATCAATCTAGTCAACAGTTTTTATGCATGGAAATATTAAAGTCTGCAGATTCTCTCGAATAATTTCGACGAGTTCTTCCAGAAACAAGAACAAAGCGCAAGATTGTGCGACATTAAAATTTCATGGATATATACTATCTCATTTAGAAGATACAGGAATTCTATAAGTCGCCACCGAGTACAGACAAGAAAAGACTACATCATGCGACGTCAGTGCAACGTAAAAGAGGAAAATAATATCTCCTAGAAACGCACTTGAATAGAAAGAAAAAAAAGAGAGATTTGAATCGATGAAGACGATGAGAGTCCGTGATCCCTGGTGACTGTCGTAGAAAAACAACACGGATGACGTCCATACAAGAATCCCTAGGATCGACGAAAGGACAGGAAAAGCCTTGCAGAGGAGTAGAGAAACCCAAAAGACGGAAATTCTGGACTGGGATCTGGGACTGCTTTCGATGGCACGAGGATTCCCATGCTCGGTTGGTGGACCAGATCCGCTTGGAGAAGCATCAAGAACAGCGCCTCTTAGGGAGAGGAAGGCCGGAGGAGAAGCGAGACTTCGAGCAGGGCGGCGACATCCTCCGCTTCCACCCACAAGGATCCGGCGAAGACTTCACGGAAGAAATGCAGTCCTTAAATCTCGCGAAGATTCTTCGAGGCCGGCGTGAACATCCCAAATATCAGGATCGGCAAGGAGAGATCTCTATACGTTTAGATGATCTCTCGACCATGCCCCGGTCCAATAGCTCCAGTTGCGTTCTGAGCCGGGTGAAACCATGTCGAAACCGAGAAGGATCCCCTTATCCTTCATCTGAACACATCTACGAAGAAATCGAAGGATTGCGTTCTTTGATGGAGAGTAATTTATCGTCTCGTCGGGTCCCCGAGGACATGGTCACATCTATCTCAAAAAGAGAATGGGATTCTATTGATACATTCCAGACAGACTCCACCACTACCTTCCATGAGATTCAAATCGATTCGGAAGATGGGAAGAAAACTCAACCTGAATCCGAAAAAGCCATTTCCACTGCATCCGAGGTGGACGAAATTCCTTGGAGTGAATCAGAGGCCCGGGAAAAGGAAAGGGACCACGCCAAAGCTGTAGTATATCACCGCCAACGTCATCGACATAAGAAACGGGACGAAAAGCTGGAATGCACAAGCCTGGACTCTCATTCCACGTCATCGTAAATAAAAATAGCCCAATATGCTTCTTTTCTTCTTTTCTGCCATGGCAGTCATTTCGTATGAAGAGCTCCAGACGGATTTAGCTTTAATTTTTATATCAATAAGAGACACGTAATAATCATAATTAGGCATTGATTAACAATCTCATGCATTTCACCCTCCTACTTTCTTCGTGCGTTATCAGACTGCAAGAAAATGTAAATTAATATTACAAGTTGTTCATGGGACTGAGATTAAGACTCAATATAAGTGGTAGTGAAGAGGTAAGTGAGGCGCTGTCAGCACTCTCACTTCTATCCTGCTATAGCTGTAGTTGCACTAGTTGAGGCACGCCAAAATGAGAGTTGGACTGGGCAGAAAAACTAGACAAGTTTCCTTCGGGATAGAACGTAGTGATGGAAATCGTACGCGGAGGAGATCTAGCGTCCAAACCACATGTCCTGACAAACCATTATCATTATCCATGGCCAAAAAGTCCAGAAACACATCAACCAAACCACCTCATGCAAAAAATGCATTCTCCTACAGAACCAACTGTGGAAGTAATAGGTTCCTCCATCTAGGGAGGAAAGACCGGGGAGAAAAAAAAAAAAAAACAGAACCCCAACATTCGCTGAAAGCCGCAATGTGTCTGCTCATCGAAAGCCAGAATAGCATCAACAATGCAACACCTACATAAGCGCCATCATACTCACTATCACCCCACCCCCATTCTCTATAACACGAGGACTCCAAACATCACTTACGATACCACCTCCGTCCAAAAAAGGCTCAAGTGCGAAGGCCACTGAGATGAGTGTCGTATAAAGGCTTCAAGAACCAATTCCACCATTCAATGGAAAACAAAAATTTTATCCAATTGCATACTAAAATGGCAAGCAACTAGGGGAAGAGGAGAGACTATACCAACTTTAGAAAGTGCAGAGAATGGAGTACTTTTCTTAGAAAGGAATAAACCTTTCACAATAATGACCCTGTCAAATAGGAATTCTTGTGATACCATGAGCATATTTTCCTACTTTTTTTTCAATGCAATGTATACATGCCAGTCCATGTGTGTGGTCAATGAAACATGGGCTTTCCAGCAAAATTCCAATCCAAAGGTAACTTTCTGTACTATTCTCCTACAGTGCAAAATCATATGCATGTACCTCTATTACAGGGTTTTCTCAGAGGAAATAACCAACTTTGAATGTTGACAATCAAAGACCTTCATTCAAAAAACAAATCCTTGTACTGTCATCACATGGAGATCACAATCCTCACTGATGTGATGTTGTGCCTGTATCCCACAACTGCCAATGGTCATATTCGATGGGACAAGGTTAGTCCATGGATGAGGATGACAAATACCCAAAGAAGAGAAATGTTGACAAGTGGGCTACAATGGAGTAGGAGGAGGAGATCCTGCTTTTGCTTTCTTCAGTTCTTCTTCCTTTTCCTCTCCTTCTTCCATTGGAGAGTCTTGGATAAAGGACTCTTCCCTTTTCCTCTTTCCAGGCTTGTCTTCTGCTTCTTCCTCTCCTTCTGAATCTGACTCAGCTCCTGGGTGACTTCTCATCACTTTATCAGGAGTCTCAAATTCCTTCATCTCTGTCTTCTCCTGCACATATAAAAAATAATTTTTTACATAAAGCAAGGGAACCATCAACTAGTGTCAGCAATGAAGTTATCTCCAGCACCTGTATGGGGGCCATGGCCTCAAAGGCTTTCATCTGCTGTTCATACATGTGTACCACAAACCCAAGCATCTGAGGCATTTCTTCAATGATAACAGGCTCCCCAGCTGGAGGGGTATTTCCTGGCCTCTGACTTGGATATGTCTCCCATGGTGCTAAATGCAATGTAGTTGGATGCTTCAATAGCTGAAAAAAAGACCCAAGAGGAAATTCTTTTCAGTAGATCATTGATGGTATGACATTGAAAATCAAAATTTTGCTCACAATGTTGAAGGCAGGCATAAGTTCAAAGCAATTGCTGAAGAGTTCCACTCGAGCAAAGATGTAAAGACCTAATCTAGCACGGGAAAGGGCCACAATCAGACGTCTCACATCCCTCAAATGTCCCACAGTTCTTGTCCTTACTAATGAGAGCAGAATGAAGTCATTCTGCTGACCCTGGTATTTATCCACTGTGGCAATCTGCAAATCAGAATTTTATTTAATGTAGGGCTAAATTTAGTTGAGAGAATGACAGTAGAATCAGAATGATCACCTTGTGAGGTCTCCCAAACACAGGATTATTGGCACATCGGGCAGTGACAACATCTCTGAGCAGGTGCTTCTGCCCATTATATGTGGTAAGGATGGAGATCTTCTCAGCTGGGTAGCCAAGGAGTCGCATGTACATGAATACGCCCACCACATACTCTGCCTCTGCTAAATTCTTTTGAACCATTCAGGAAGCTATGAATTTCAACTATTTCAAATTCCACCACAGACAATTAGAACAAGGAAGTAACTCACCTGATAGAAGTATGGGCTGGGAGTTGACTCCCCAACACCTTGAAAGTCACCAACATCAATAACTTGGCAATCAAAACAGAATCCAGGATTGGCAACCTGAAATTCTGGTGAATTGGCAACATGAGGCAAATCATCCAGCTTCTTGTACCTCCACTTGTACAGCTCACAGAGACTGAAAACGAATTCAGAATCATGACAATTTGAGCAGGCAATTGCTTCCAGACAGGAAGGAAAAGTAGCATACGAGGATCGAGCTCTGCCTTGAGCATCCAAGTCCACAGTAGGGACCCCAAGGTGTACAAGTCGAGCAAACAGACTCTGTTCCATGTTGCAGAGTTTCTGGAATGCAGGATTTTGCACAACAGGGGGAAGCTGGTGATGATCTCCAATCATGATCCATCGCTTCAGACGACTGAACCCATCTTTGGGAGCCTGGAGAAGCAGTGGGATGAAGGTCTCAATCTCCAAGATCTGAGCTGCTTCCTCCATCACCAGACTGTCATACTGGAAGTCTGTTTGAAAGAGTAGATAAAACATCAATGCATTCACACTGTCCCTCTTGCACAGGAAATTGACACCTTAGAAGAAAGCACAGGGCTGCCATTTTGCAAAAAAAAAGGTTAATTTAATTTATAACGGGTTATTTAATCAAATAATCACTTTTTGATGCCTTAAAGCTGATTTTGATGAACACAGAAAACATTATATTCAGGGCAAGGGATTAAGGAAAAATACAGTCCAGGCAGCATTGACCCAAGGTATCCTAACATGGCCTATCTTGCCTGAAATTGTCAAATGGAAATATTACTCTCTGACTTTTGCCCATTTGAAAGTTCTCCCATATTGTACCTGGAGACAAGTGGACTTAAATGTCCAACTTTTACTTAAAACTTACAGACATAGCTTTAACCCTATCAGTTGAGTTTTCTATGGATAGCTGTGCCTCCTGCCTGAGTTTTCTTGGGGGTGCATGTGCTCAGTGCTTGCACAAAAAGTTTGGGCTTGAAACATGCAGTGTGATTCAAAAGAAGTTTCAAGAGAAACCAGGAAATCAATTGAAATAGAAGTCATCTAGATTATTTTCTTCTTGCATAATTAAATCTCTAACAAGTTCATCCAATAATGAATGCCATGTAATTGGCAACCCCATAAGATAGACAATTGCCAGACCAAATTGGAGCAGCTCTCGTCGCTTCAGTGCAGCATGGGTGCAGGTCATGGCAATGATCTTTGCCTCCTTAACCAAGAGGTAGCGTGAACGATCCAATCCAGAGCGAAGGAGTTCAAATGCCCGAAATTCTTCCAGTTGGGTGAAAATTCGCCTGATATATCTAACAGGACAAACAATCACTCATTGAAATGTGTATACAGGAGTTAGCATTATGATTAAGTAAATATCTCTCAGGGCCACTTGATGAATAAAGCACTACACTTGGGTTAGATGAACCCTGACCATCATGGAAAATATGGGGATGGTCTAGCCAAGGCATAGTACTCTACTCATACACTGGCCCTTGGATGAGAATAATACAGTACTGAAAGCATCCTCTGGCCCTCTCCATGTCCTCATCATAGTTGGTGCCCTGAAATAGTGGCTGAGGGGCATTTTCAAAAAACTTCTCAAATGGAAAGAGCTGCTTGACAGCTTCCACTGGAACAGCCTGAGAAAGAAGAAACTCTTGAATGAAAAAAACTGATGCTAAGTGATAAAGAGAGAAATACTACTGGCAGAATAGAATGACTCACTTTCCCCCCAACTGGCTGAACAGAAGTCAGAAACTTCTCCCATCGAGATAGGACATGATTGATATAAAAATACCCAGCTGTCTCACAAGTGTAGGCAACATCTCCTGGTACCTCCAAGCTTTCTTGCAGTCGCTGCACCTCTTGAAGGAGATCAAGACGTTTTGCCAAGACATAGTTCACTCTTCCATAACGACTGAAGTCTTTCTCTGTTTCTAGAGCTTCTTCTCCATGCCCAAGCCGAAGCAAGTGCCTTTCATCAATGTCAAGAGCCATAATCTTCTCAAATAGTTGATTCAAGGCCTATAAATAGGTTTCATTCCAAACAATATCATTAGATGAGCAAATTCAACATCAAAAGTGATGATTAACTTTATTTTCACCTGGTTGGAATGAGTAACTATAAGTATCCTCTGATCGGGGAAGTTATGATATATGTTGGAAATGATCTGCACAGCAACATCTGTCTTCCCTGATCCAGGGGGTCCCACAACAAGAGTGAGACCAGGCTGCATCCCTGCCCTTATGGCTTGGACTTGTGTTGGTGTGAATGGTACAGAGTTCCTAGAACAAATAAAATCATCAGTGTGATCATGGTCAAATGACTACCAGAACAAAGCAGCAATTACTCACTTCTTGGGTTGCACATAAGGATAGGGCCCTCGACTGGGAATCACATATGGCTCAACAATGATCACCTTCTTTTCCCCATCTGAGTTCCCCTTTATTGACTCTCCAACTTTCCTCTTCTCCTCTACCTCCAAGAATGTTAACCTGAAAGATGTTAAAAGAGTTTTCAGTAGATTATCTTCTGGAAGGCCAATTCAATTGAATGTAGGGGGGACTCACATTAAGGGAGGAACAAGCTTCTCAGGATCATTGCACTTGGATTGAACCTCATGAGATGGGAAGCTTCCCCGTAGGTGTTCCATGTTCAGGAAGGTATCCTTGAAATCCAGCTTTGCCATTTCGTTTGGCATACTGAATGTGCAAAATATTTGAATCATGTAAAAGACATCACAACTGAACAAGATGAATTGAATACATTGAATAACACTTCAACTGACTTGCAGAACTGTGCAGCAGCAGGGTCTCCATATCCTAGGATAATGTCATGAAGCCAATCTGGAACAATGCATTCCCCATTGATCAGATCTCTAATTGTCTCCAGGACAGCCTTGAAGTTGTTCTCTTTTGGCTTTCGTCTCATGAGGATATTGAAGGTCTCATACACATCCTAGATAATGTTGAATCAATAGATGTATTAGGCTTATCAACAGGTCCAGTAAAGAAATAGAAAAATAAATGGAAATACTTAAAATAAAAAAGCATTTTCTGACACCTTACCAGTTTGATGGTATATTTCATTGGTAAGACATTGACTAAAAAATGTGAGAATGGAATGATCAAGCCATGTACCTCATTTCCACTAGCAGCTCGTTCCATGTCAGAATGGTATTGATTGGCATCCAGCCATACTCGCAATGTGCGACTGTCCCCCTGCAGCTCTGGCTTTGGATTCGGCCCCTCTTCTATCACTCGACCATGAGAGTCTAGCATTCCCTCAATTTCACATCCTCTCACATAAGTTAGGCCCGTCTGCTGGGATGCAGTCTGATCCCATGTGTACTTTGTACCTTCAGGAACAAACACTAGTGAATTTCTCTTCAAGCAGGAAAATTTTCTCACAATCCAGAAATAGGCCAAGCAGTAAGATAACAGAAGGATCACCTATGGGTGCACTCGGTCTGACAGTGAGAAGAAAGCAGACATCATGTTTTCGCAGGGACTCCCATTCAGATTTGATATAGGGCCTGGTGCTGAGCTGCAATGTGACATCTGCACGTACACGAGAAGGGACCTTCTCTCCCAAGAGGGGTCGTCCAACTTCCACAATGGAGAAGTTGTCAATGGGATTGCCCATCCGAGCCCAGCCTCCAAACACTACTTTGCCTGTCTCGCTCTTCCTATAACAAGATAGCAAGATTTTTGCATGTCTTTCTGCTCTCAAATGTATGCCTTCTGATTTTGACATACAGGCATGTTTAGCCTATTATCAGAGAGGATCCCAAAGTAGCTTGCTCTAAAAAAGACTTGAATCTTATTGGATGTTAACATGTCACAGAGGAGGTCCTTATACAGAAATACCAACTTCAAATCAGAAATCAAGTTGCATCTATAGCCATTGAATAAAATGTCCTTTTTAATATTCCACCTGTTAGGATTATTCCTGAAAGCTGTTTATACATCCAATAATACATGCTGAAAGTTGTTTATTCATCCAAACCAATTTACATGATAAAAATATTCTTCAAGTGGTTTCCATTTTTAGCAAGGGTAAAAATGTGACCCAAGTAGAGTAACTACCTTTTTCAGTTCAATGGGTAAATCATCAGGGAAAAAAATCCAAGGATAAAGGCAAATCTTTCATTTTCCTCAGATTATTTTATTTCACTTTTCATGCAAACTCATGCTGAAAATTTTAAAATACTGAGAGGCAATTTTTGACTGAGCAGGAGCAGTTGAGCATTGGCCAAGTGAGTAGAAAGCATCTTTATCTTTCTTCTTCTCTGCCTCACCTCTTATTCATGTTCCAACATTTTTTTAGTACAAAAGGAGTGGAATACTTGAGAGAGAAAATTTTCATTTAATACATTATTACCAAAAAAAGTTGTCAAATTCAAAAGCCTAAATGGAACATAACACAGGCCAGGCCTCCTCTGAAAATGTATACGATCTTCAAGTGGTCTTGAATATAAACTGAAGCTATAAGACTATTCTTAAAACATATTATAAGCCACTTATTAAAATCTTTCTTGTCCATGAATCCTTTTTAAGGAGACAGAGATGCATACTTTGCATACAACTTACCATGGCTTCAACCTGAAGAGGACATCTTCAACATCTTGACGAATCTCATCTAAAATAAAAATTTAAAAAATAGAACCAGTCAACCAAGTCTAATTTTGGTCTACTATTTGAACATGAAGTAAAATAGGATTCATGGAAAAGGGATTTGAACTCACAAGTGGATTCTAGGCGGAACAAAGTGAAATTCCGGAGGAGATAATCTTTGAAGGTGAGAAACTGAAGTCCCAATCGAGGCAAGGCAAGACCTGAATGTCCTGATGCATAGGCATCAATGATCCCCTCTGGTGGAACAAGATGCTCATCCCATATCACTTCCTCCGTTGGGTACAAAGGGAGACTGTTTAACTCTTCAACTTGAGATGGTCGCTTTTCATGGCAGAAGATCTGTGGAACATAAAGTATTTTATTGCAGAATCAATTAAGAATAGTCCTGCTATGCTAGGACATTTGAATAAATCCCACATACCAAAAGCTGAAGAAGAAAATCTTTGTCAAATTCTTCCTGGGATTCTTCAAGTGGAGGAACCAGATTCAGAAATGCTGCTATTTCATGTAACTTCTCCTTCCTTTGCAAGAAAGGTAATACATACCATCAGGCAAATATCATCATGCTACCCCTGTGGATCATCTCTGCTTTACATTCAGGAGAAATGAAGAAAGTAGCAACAAAAGTAGCACTCACGGTAGATCTTTGAAATGCTTCTCTAGAGCCACTCGTGTGTCTACACTTGCCACATTAGATAAGCTGAATTTTCTTAGTTCAGGGAATTTCAGGAAAGCAGCCCTCTGAAAGCAAATTAAGATATAGATGCAGGTCTCTTTCACTGTGCAAGCAATAAATATGGAATATAGACTCAAGATAAACAAAGTCACACCTGGAGAGAAGTGATTTGATCATAATGATTCTTCATGACATCTTGCTCATCAAGAGGATCCCCTGTTTCCTCATTGATTTCAAAACGCATATAAAAACTCAGCATCTCCAGCAACTGTCAGGTTTGAATGATGAGGAGAGATAAGGCTCAAGCATCATCTAATACCAAAAAGACACCACTTCCTCAGGAGTTCTTTCAGAACTCTATATTACATACTTGTGTAAAGAGTTTCCCTTCCTGTCTTTTGAGAAAGGCAGATCTCTTGCACTTGACCAGTAGATGACTATCATCCAAGACAAGAGTGAAGAAACGTCGAGTGGGGAGCTGCCACTCCAACACAATGAGGAGATCCAGAAACCTGGTCAGGTAAGACACCAGGCCATTCTCTATATCCCCTGCAAAACAAATGTCCAGTGCTCTTGCCAATCAGGTAAGGTTCAGGGAGATATCAAGGTTCACTGGTCAAATGGCAGTTATGTCTGTAACTATTGGGCCTATTCCACATACAATAATTGGCCCACTGGAAAACACAAACTTTGGCAGCAGTTCTGCCATAGAACTTCAGGAAATTTTGACTACAACAGAATTTTGCATATGATTTTCCAAATGTTTATTCATTCCAGGGCTGTATTTACCATGGATATCTAGAGCCTGGCTTCATGTAAGTCCCATCAATATATAGGAAGGAACATTTCAAAGGAATGTAGCTGGTAGGGAGAGGGAAAAAGTTCAAGGTGAAAGACCCTTGAAGTTGAACCAATTTATCACAGCTTTCATTGATGAATTTCACTGAATTTATCAATTGGATAGGCCAATACATTCTAAACAGATTAGTGAAATTTCATTCAAAATTTTTTAGCCAAAGCAAGGCTATGATTAATAACTTAGAATAAATCCCACATAGAGAATGGACAATAGGCTCCAGTCCATTCAAGCAACAACTCTACACCTCACCTCCTCTGAAATTGACAAGGCAAAAATGTTTTGGAAGATGGAGCAAACTTTCTTTTATGAACCCTTTGATTTCCCAGTCATTGAACCATTGGCTTAGACTTATGGAACTTTTTCATAGACAAACAACCAAACCATGCTGTAGACATACAAAATGCTTCCATTCCACAAGCTTACAAGTATTTCAAGGTATGTGATTGCCCAGAATTATACAATATATCTAAGCCTTTCACAATTTGCATTTCTGTTCCAGGAGTATTTTTCAAACTATATGCAAAAAAAATGCTATTTGGAAAAAAGGAATGCAAGGCACAGTCTATAACAGGGTAGTTAAAAGAATTATTTCCAATGGAAGAGATGTTTGATGAAGCCTCCATATTTGGTCACAAAGTAAAATGCCTAGATATCTAAAGATGACTCCCACCACAAGCTCTGTCCATTCTCATGTTCAAACTTCTATTTGGTAATTGTTCATAGCTGTGTTTCTGCATAAAAAATACAGATGAAAGTTCACAAGTCTGTTGAGAACAAATGCACAGTATACATTTTTATAGAAATAGCCCAGTGATGACATTTAAAAAAATATAGTTTAAAATATAGTTTCAAAAACAGGGGACTCACTCTTACCATACCCAGTAGAATCAATTCTATTCAACAAGTTGGAAAGTCACACCAGGTATAACTAAGCAAGGAAAGAAGTATCAATGATCTCATCAAAATAGTGTAATACCTTCTAGCGGTATATGCTCCAACCGTAGAAGGAATGTTCTGATCATATTCCGGAGGAATGTCCTTTCAAAGTGGAGGTTCTTTCGTGTCTCTTCACTTTCTTTGCTGTCTTTCTTCTGAATCACTCTCCAATACTTCCTCCAGCGAGGAATAGCCTTCATTTCTGCTTCTCTCCTCCTCTACAATAACAGCATGAACATCTTTGCACATGTTCATCCTACATAAAAATTGAAGGAATAAAAAGGAAAGCCTCTCTCTAACCTCAGAGACTGAAATCCAGCATGGGAGGGAGACAAGGCGCTGGATCTGTGTTCGTACCATCTCCTCTTCCAAACTTCCAGCACAATTTGTGAGGAAGGAAAGTAATTCAGTTTCCTCACGTAGTGTCAGAGGTAGGCCAGCATTTCCTTCATCCTTCTCCTCTGACTCAGGATAAAGAGCCCTGAGTAATCTCCCAAAATAAACACCAAACTCTCCTGATCCAGTTGACTGCTCAAAGGCCTGATTTCCAAATGACAGCAAAAGGAACAACTTCATTTTTTCACTTGATTCTAATAAAGGGAGGCATGAGAATTCAGAATTGGTCAGCCTCATGAAAGCTACCAGATTTTTAAAAAAAGGGGGGGACCTTAACAACTATTGAATCAATCAAAGCTGACCTTCCATGCTGGTACCCGCTCCCGGAACTTCTCATTCACCATTACTGCAATGGAGACTAGATATGCCTTCGAAGAACGTTCAGCAGTGAAGTTGGGCCAAAGGTAGTTTTCTAGATACTGACTGAATTCAAGCATCATGATTCGCCTTCGAGAAAAGCTAAGACATGAAAAGATAAAAGCAAAATTATTGTTGTTGCAACACTGAATAACTCCACAACTCATGAAGAGCAAATCAAGCATTCAATGATGAATCTATGTCCTGATTCTGGATGAATATATATTATACATGAAGGGTTTTAAAAGTTCTAAGCCTGAGGCACAACTCCTGACAAATAAAATAAGAACTAAGCTGGTGTCTACTAATGAAGGCATGTAATACAGAAGACTGTTATCTTCTGGAATGAGAATATAATCAAGCAGTCATCATGGAAGATCATTTCCTTCTGAGTGATAAAATCTGCATACCTTTCTCAACAGATTCCACAGGAAAGCTCTTCAATCTATTCACATCATGATTCGCCTTCGAGAAAAGCTAAGACATGAAAAGATAAAAGCAAAATTATTGTTGTTGCAACACTGAATAACTCCACAACTCATGAAGAGCAAATCAAGCATTCAATGATGAATCTATGTCATGATTCTGGATGAATATATTTTATACATGAAGGGTTTTAAAAGTTCTAAGCCTGAGGCACTTTCAGTTGCATAACATCATTCTTACTCTTCTTATCTTCTGAGAAGACAGATTTTTTCGATGGTGACTGGTAAAACTCCATAGCATTGGTTAATTAAAGTACTATGAATTTTTCTAAATGTGACCAAAGGGTCTACTGAAGGGGTATTAATATTGAGATGAATGCTGTAATGAATTTTCTAACCTCTAAGGTGTTGATTTCCCTGCAGATCTTTCATAGAAGTATCAGTAGGACTCTATCCTCTTGGCTACTGAAAGATCTGCTGCAAGATCAACTCCATAAAAAAACATGTATTGCAACTGAAAGAGCCTCCAAATCAGAACTTTTTTAACTCCCCATGTATATGAAAAAAAGGATTACAAAATGCAATTGGTCATTTAAAAAAGAGAGATGAGGGTAGATTTATTTCATATTGTGAACAAATATTTACTACACCTTGTAAGTCAGTTTCAATGGTTGAGTTTATGTTGAAAAACCCATGAAAATAGATTTCAAGAATTTGCATAATTTAATTTTCATACAATGAGTAATAATGAACAAAAATGCATTTATTCCAATGAGGATTAACCTAGAATTTGTTAAGTAGTGAGGAAGGGGGGTGACATGTAGAATGAGGGGAGCCTGAACATCCCAACTCCCCCCCCTCCACTAATACATTTCTAATACAGGAGATATAAGTTTCTAGGGGCCTGGCAACTTACAAAGCACCTGCATGCCTAAATATGAGATTTTCAATGAATGGCATTCTAGAATTCTTTAAATAATACAAGAGTCCCAAGTAACACCACCCTTCCCCCCCCCCCCATCTAGGAATACCTGCCCATGAACCAACCAACATGAATCTAAGTCTTGTAAGCAACAGAATTTTTTATGGACCCTTGCTTTCAGCACCACCTACTCTCATGCCTTAATCAAGCACAAGTATACCACACTTGATTGAGGATTGTACTACAACAATACCTACTCACTATAACAACATGAACTATTGGGTTGTTCGGAAAGTTCTGTCTGAAAATTTTGACATACTGTATTTTTCCCAATTATTTTTCTTGCTTGGTAATATTTCTTCCTTATGTGCGTGTGCGATTGTATTTTATCAATATGCTTTTGTTTTGCTCCTATCGACTTTTTTTTAGGTTATAATGATGTCAAACCATGAGCACCTCCTGTACTGTTTGCTTAATGAGCACGATCTAGGAAGCTCTGCAGTAGAGGCTCATCGCCGCATATGCCAAGCTATGGGCCAGGACGTTGTCAGCAAACGTACGTGTCGCAGATGGTTCACCAGGTTTCGCGCGGGCAACAGGACCCTCCAAGATGAGCCAAGGTCTGGGTGGCCCTCCAAGGTCGATGACTGATCAAGGCTGATCCCAGAATGACCACCCATTCCTTGGCGGCCAGACTTGGATGTGCCAATAGCACCGTGTATAGCCACCTCCTAGCCCTGGGAAAGGTGCTTAAGCTGGGGTGTTGGGTACCCCATGCACTGTCACAAGCTGATCGTGACCGTCGTTCGAACATCTGCACGTCTTTGCTGTCGCGCTTGCGCAACTTCGAGTGGTTGTGCTACGTCATCACTGGTGACGAAAAGTGGTGCCTGTACATTAACCGTATGCGCCATGGCCAATGGGTGAGCACGCACCAGCAGCCGGAGCCAGAGCCGAAACCTGATCCGCACGCGAAGAAGCTCATGTTGACGGTTTGGTGGGACACCAAAGGCGTCATCCTCTGGGAGGTGCTGCCCCACAACCAGACTGTGACTGCGCAGTACTACTGCAACCAACTGCAGCATCTCGACAACCAATTTGCTCTGGTTCGCCCGAGGCACAGCCGTGTTCTCTTCTTCCACGATAATGCGCAGCCGCATACCGCAAAGTGCACACGGGACAAGCTTCTCCAGCTGGGCTATGAGGTTCTGCCCCACCCAACTTACAGTCCAGACATAGAGCCATCAGACTACTGGCTCTTCCGCACACTCAACCGGCGCCTATGCGAGAAGAGCTTCGCCGATGAGAACGCACTCAAGATGGAGATCGGCCACTTCTTTGACTCCCAGCCTGAGACATTCTACAAGGACAGCATCAACGGCCTGCCGGATCGCTGGTGGAGGGTTGTGGATGCCGATGGTGACTACTTAGTAGAATAAGGTGTGGTTGTTAATGAATAAACTTTGTGGAAAGAAAAGTGTGAAAAACGGACAGAACTAATAATAATATTAATGTAAAAATATGCAATTTTAGGATAAACAGGGAGCTCAATGATATGCAATGCATACTAGTATTCTTGCTTGCATCACAACTCCTGACAAATAAAATAAGAACTAAGCTGGTGTCTACTAATGAAGGCATGTAATATAGAAGACTGTTATCTTCTGGAATGAGAATATAATCAAGCAGTCATCATGGAAGATCATTTCCTTCTGAGTGATAAAATCTGCATACCTTTCTCAACAGATTCCACAGGAAAGCTCTTCAATCTATTCATAGCTGCTGTCAATGTCTAGTAATGATAAATGCCTGGCTGAATATGGGAGACATGATTTATGGGAAAAGAGCTCACGCCTTCTTGCTTCTATTTCTCTATAGAAATAGGAAACTCCATGAACCTTATGCAACTGGTAGGGGGAAGGGGCTCTATAAGGAACCTGGATGAAATATCTGCAAGTATGGGTTCAGAGGGAGCACACACCTCTTGACTGGGAAGGAGATGCAGTTGCTGCTGAAACTGCTTCATTAAAAAAATGGGTGCCATGGGAGGGTGGAGGGATGAGAGAGGAGGGAAGGGAAGTTGAAGTTCTGATCCTCTGAATGCCCCATTGCTGTACCAATACAACATATACACTCAAAATACTTCAGTAAGAAAGACTCTGGTCAGCAGGCTACAATTGGTTGAGGATTTCACATCTCATTACACCAGGGAGTAATAATAGATAAATTGAATATGGGTCCTCTGCCGGCTAAAGATTACAGGTTTGCGGGAAGACTCTGCTAAGTTTCTGGTCACATAGTGTGCAAAGGAACTAACCTGCAAGTGTAGGCCATAGACCTAGTTCGGGCAAAAAGTCATTGTAAGGGATTCAATCAATGTGAACATAAGCCAAGGCTCACCTGCTGCCAATTATCTCATTCTGATAGACTTCCTCAATGATGTCTGCATTGAATGGAGAATGATTTCCCTTTGTTTGTGGACTCCAGTACTTGTATGCAACCTGTAATGTCAAAGAAATGTTCAGTTTACAGCTACTCTATGTTGATTGCTTCCAGTCTAGATCTAACATATAAGGTTAGCCATAAGATAAACTAAACTTGGATCTTTCACACTTCATGCAATAATACACATTAAATAGTCTCACTTCACAGAACAATATCATACAGGCCTAGACTACATATAAGGAAACTGTTTTCAATGCCTTATCATTCTCTATGGGAGGAAGGGATTGAAATAAGTCCCTGTGGCAAAAAATGGCTCTCAGCCCCCTTAGCTCCCTCCCCCCCCACTCTAAAGCCTTTGCTCTTTGTCGTACATAGTAGGTTGACACCTCAAATTAAAGCTAAAAGAGAAGAAAAATTTTCCAGAATGCTTTATTTAATATTTCCCTTTGGAAGGAAACATTTTTTATCTGAAAACTAGTAACATTGAAAAATGTATATCCAATGTTTCTCTGTGGGGGGAACTGAGACATCCATGTCAATTTTAGAGGAGTTCATGCATCTGTGAACTAATATATCATTTGATTTAAAGGGGCATTGATTCCAGCATAATTGTTCACATTGCAATTGAAAGTTGGTCATTAATTACAGATTCATTGTTGCATAAGTTAATTCAATAACATTGAAATGCTTGAAGTCTGAGGTCACAATTTATTCCAATAGCAAATTAAAACCCTTTGTCCTTATTTATCATAAAGACTTATAATTTTCATTGGATGTTAATCCCACCTTAATCTAACTGTTCCAAAATCTAATTGAATTCTAAGATAGTCAAGCCCAGATCACTCAGTGGTAATGGAACAATCCACCTGTAATTTGTGCAACAGGGTATTGAATGATTCAGGCTAGAATACTAACAAAAACCTAATCCTCTTTTCAGCACCTTGTAGTCTTCTTACATCAATCACATAATTAATTTATCGTTGTTTGCTGGTAAAAAAAAGATGAGGTGGTGTCGTACGATACCAGCCAACGACGTCTGATACCACGTGCTTAAACATTGCGCCTCTTTACCCAGGAAGCTAAAACTATGAACTTCAATCCAATCTCACAGTTCTATCACATAGGCTAAGCTAAACGACTAAATTTATCAGCTGAACTATGGACGTAAAATTAGGCCTATGACTATGAATTTCCTATCTTGATAAAATTTAAAAAATAAAAATAAAAAACAGAAGTCCCCACCTGAGTAATTCGATCAGAAAATATCTGATCAACGGTTGGAGCAGCACCTTGCCTTGGCTTGTGAGGAACTTTCGTGGCCACCATTTCTAGTGCATTGGTTGATATTTATGACACTGAAAAAAGACAGAGGTAGCTTAAATAAAAAGGCGGTAAAAGCGATCACATGGGTTCAGGCACCGGCGTGCGCATTCTGTACGCAGACATTTGCAATTACTTACCTCTAGCGACGCCTATACAAATGAATGTGTACCATAGGGCTTGCACGAGACCTCCTCAGATGGCTCTCCTGCTATTTGGGAGGTACGATACGACACACTGTTTTTGGACTGAATTCGTACAAACCCACTAGAGTGGAGAATGAAGAAAACACAGATTTCCAGAAGTTCCGCTTCGTCAAATGATAGACGTAACCACCCATTTGTAAGATGTCACTTCCTGCAATCGATGTAAGGGGGGTACGAACTCAATCTGAAAACAATGCATGATCATTGGCGCCGACTTCTAAAAAAAAAATACTGGAGGAGCAAGGTACTAATGCCCCTAAAACCACATGGACGAAATCATTCCAGAATCCAGCGGGGTAGCTCAGTATTATTGAGGTAGCTGAGTGACGAATAGAGGGGAATAGGGGCTGCTTGGCATGGAGAGGGCAGCCTTCGCCCTTCCACCCCATACCCTCACGTGGTACTGGAGATCTCACAGTTGTGCTTTGGCCATTTGACTTTGGCTTCTGGGTCCTTCCCCCCCCCCCCCCCCCCCCCCC